CCCCAAAACCCCAAAACCCCAAAACCCCAAAACCCCAATAGATCTGTGATAGATTGAACTTTCAAAAGATCATGCCCCTGAAACACTATTGGATAATTTCACTCTCTAAAAAGTGGGTAAAGAAATATATTCTACCGATTCAGCCACCTCCAAAAACCCTAATTGCGGCTCTTCCCAGCCCACAGAGAAGAAGCCTGGGTAATAGTAGAAGATCATAGCTGGGGAACAGCCTTGGCTTGGAAGGGGGCTTTGGGGTTGAAGAAGTGGTGTGCAGTTTAGATGTTTAAGTGCATATCTAGTGGCAGATTTTAGGGGGTGCGAATGGAGAAGATTTTTAGGAATTTGATGTTAGTTATACTCAAAAGTTTCGTGGAAAGGCATGTTGTTGATAAGTTCAACTGATGAGTTGATTTCGAAAATACGGTCAAGTTCCTCCTTGAAGTTTTCATCAGTTCTTCTGAGCAATTGTTTATTACCTTCCATATAGATTGTAAAATTTCTGAGAGTATTTGCAGCTAAAATCGCAGACTTCAGTGTTTTTTTTGCTTTATGTGACATTTTTGGGAGTTCCCAATTTCTCACATCAAATAATAAATCAGTAACTTTAAAAACAAGTAGCTTCGGCAAAATCATATGGGTCGATTCAAGATCAGAGACCGAGAGACTAAAGTACTTAGTCTTGACTCTTTTGAGAGCAATAATAGCTTTCTTTATTTCATCAAACCCGATTGACAATCTGATATGCAAGTTTTCACATCTAGTAGGCTTACAATGTATCAGAGTCTCCAATCCATAAATAAATTCAAACTCTTTGCTCTCTATGTAAATGAGGTTTATATGAGAATATAGGCTCCCAAATGTACTTTTGAATTTATTTCCTGTTTTTTCTTAAAGCTTCTAACTTTAATGGATTGTGACTGTTAATAGATTGAATGTTTTGAATCTCCAAAACGGATTCATCCGTCACTATGGTAAGACCTTTTATTTGCTTTAAAGCAGGGTAAAGATCTATAAAATCTTTGCAAAGTATTTTTGAGACATGAAATGATTGAAATTTATTTGACTGTAGCATCATAATAAAAGATATTACAGTCTTTCAAGACCAATCATGGCACTCTTACAAGCAATCCAGAGACTAATGTGACTCTTTCACGAAGCAGAGAATTAAAATGGTTCCTAAACAATAAATATTTGCAATGAATTTTGAGTCCAGAGCCTGTTTCCTTGAATTTTGGGAATATTTTAGCTATCTCTTCAGAAGCATTTCTGATTGCATTCTCATCTTCTAGTTCACGTCCTGGGTAGCGCTCTATGCATATCTGTCCTCAAGATTGTCTTATCGATACAGGGATGATATCTTTATACTGATCTATAGCAATGTTATTCAGAAGGCTTAGTTTGTTACCTGAATCTAGTAGAGACTCTATCTTTGAGTCATCGAAGCTAAATTGGCTGACCCTCTTGACACAGTCATGAGTAGCGAACTTATCTCGATCAGTTTCTTCTGCTAGAGTTATTGTTGAAAGAGAGAACTTGTGAGTGTACCTCAACACATCTTCGGCATCTTCAGGGACAAAATCTTGCAGTTTGTTGATCTGGATTCAAGAAGTGTCCAATGAGAGCTCGCTCAAAATATCATAAGGAGAATTCAAAAGGTCTCATGTCATCCCTTTTTCGTAATGCACATAGATTTTGTAGAAATTTAAGAGGCTTCTGTGCTTGAAGCGTCTGATGAACTCTCAGAATTCATTGATACATTCTTCTGTTTTGAGTACCAGCACATAATCGTAGAGGTGAAACTCTAAAGAATCAGGCATGTTTTCAAAATAGTCAGTAACTGTGCTATTGAATGATTTATTTCAAATTAAAGTTCTTCTAGTTCCATCTGCAACTAATCCGTAAGCATAAGCCTGGCTGTATCTCTCCCATAGCTCTCTTGTCTGTGTTCATAAACCAAGCAGTAGGCAATGGCATTGGCTGAGACTTCCATAATACTTTAAAATGTTGATAGAATGGCTAAAATTAAATAGCAGACTTCTGGTATCTCTTCCAAGATGTTCATCTATGAGAAAATTAGCTCTTGCTTTTCTAAAAACTCTTTAATATCACCATCAAGAGAAATAGGATGAACTAAGTACCTGGGAATGTTTGTGAATATACTTCTGACTCCATTTTGTTATGTGTAAGTTTGATTCAATCCCAATATATCTATTTGGGGTTTTGGGGTTTTGGGGTTTTGGGGTTTTGGG